AAGAAGAAGAAGAAGAAGAAGAAGAAGAAGAAGAAGAAGAAGAAGAACGAGGAGGACGAAGATGCAGGAAAGAGCTTAAATTGCATTAGAAAACTAAAATGAAAATTTAGTTTAATTTACATTTGAATTAGCAAAACGGAACCAAGCACTCAAATAACTATATTGCACACTGAATATTTCACAATGATTTCAGAGCATTAAGCTCTCTCACAGTCTAGCCTAGGTGCACGGGGCTGAAATTCTGAAATGGCCACAAAATGGTACGAATGTGGATAGAGAAATCAAATGGATCCCTTTGAGGTTTCAATCCAGGGCAAAACCACTTATTTTATTCGTTTTCATCCCATCTTCATTGTTTCTAGAAAGAACTCGAGGCAGCGGATATATCCCATATTCTAACTTCCTTCTCCTATTTTCCACACAGCAACAATCCCACCGGCCAGCCACCCAGCTGGCTTTCATTGCTAAGGTGGGACTAGAATTCTCTGTCTCCTGGTGATTGGCCCAAAGTCACCCAGCTGGCTTTATTACATGCCTAAGGTGGCGCTAGAACTCACCCTCTTCCGATGATTGTCCCAAAGTCACCCAGTTGGTTTCCCTTCCTAAAGCAGGATTAGAACTCAACATTTCCCCAACTAACGTATTTCAAAACATAATTTGCAACTTGACATGCAATTCTTTCAATTTCTTAAATCTTACGAAAGTGACCACACCTCTCTATCACGTGTGTTAAATTATATCACCGTGCGTTTCTCCCATACTCCAAATATCCATACGTTCCATCCTCCTCCTTCCTCATTTAACGACCCCATAATCCTTTGCAGGATGGAGTCAGGGCAACTCAACGGAGCTAGCAGAGTGTTTGAATGGCCGGATGACTTTCCTGTTGCCAATGCGGAGTTTTGTTTGGCAGAGCATCGTGCCCAGAGAGAGAGAAACATCCGCCTCTACCTAGGATTGAACCCACAGCCTCCTGATTGTGAGTCGAGAGCTCTACCTCTAGGCCACCGTGCCACTCCTAACAGCCCTGCATTCCATGCCGTGCATGAAATCATAAATAAACAAGGGACACTCACCCCTGCAGAGTGCACCATGCATTTCGGGGCGCCCGTTGTGCCTGAGGAGTACATGATGAAAAGTGGGTGGCTGAAGGGGAGCTGCTCAAACTCCAGCTGAGGCACGTGGTCTCCCTTGCCTGTTCCAAGAAAGTCTTCTAAAAACACGCTGAGCGGAAAAAGGAAGGAAAGGGGTTGAAAATCAGAATTCCATATGACTTAAGATTTTTCTATAATCCATTAATGGTATTGATTAGCCCTCGGTCCATATCAAAGGGCAGAGTTCCAGAAATACAAATTATTACTAAAATCTGATAAAAGCAAATTTAACACGGAATTGCATAAAATACAATTTAAAGTGAAATTGGAATAACATAGTCTAAAATGAAATTGGAATAAAATACAAGAATTTAAGATTTAGATAAAATATTTTTTTCCCAACATTTTTTTATTACAGTCTACATATAACAATATATTAACAGTGTGGCATCGATATATCATACATCTCTCATTGCATTATATTCATATTAATTCATGCTTCTTCAATATGTATTTTCAACCTTACTCTCTCCAAATGCCTATCACCATATCAATTAAACATACCTAATAATTCCATTATTCAAATTTTCTCCCCGTTTTCATTTTACTTTTTTAAATAAAAAATTCTCATTTGGCAAGCAGTGTGGTTCCAGGTTTCACATCTCAATACAAACATGGCCATAGTTACCTATTCATTTTATTTGCTTAATTTCATATTGCATCATCCTTGTCATTATTAAATATTAAGCTTATCTTATCCAATCCCAATTCATGTTCTCATATCTTATTTTACAATATTATCTAAAATTCTCATCACAATTCTATGTTCATTTATTCAATTCCAAATCCTAATATATCTCCTTCCATTTTTCTTAGTATATTCTCATATCTTATTTTACAATGTTATCTAAAATTCTCATCTCCTTTCTATTATCATTTCTCATATTATTATTTTTTTCCTGTCACATTTGTCATTTTATCAATCCTTATCTGTAAATATAGTTGTCCCCTCTAGTTAATAATTCAAGCTAACCACTTTCATTCTTCCTTAATATCTCCCTATTTGTATAAAACAGATTTTTCTCAGATTCTGCATTATATTTTCTCTATGAATCATCTATCCATTACAAAATACGATTTTCAACATATTCTTATACATCCCAACATATTACCTTGCGGAATCCCCTTCCTTATCCCTTTTTTTTTCACCCATTATCTCTCACTCTTTGAACAATGTACCTTCTTTTCATCCTTGTTTGTTTCCTATTCATCTTTATTTTCTGATCCTTTCTCTTAATTCCCTTTTCCCCCATTCTTATTGCCCTTTTCTCATTCCAGTTATTAAACTTTTCTGTCTCCCTCTTTTGATTTTTCCTTTGCACTTCCTTTTCGTTCTTTTCCCTTCTCTCTTTAACCATTTTCCGAACCATTCTCCCTTTTATCATCCCATCAGACCACAAATTTTTAATTCTAATTCCTTTCCGCCCCCGCTTAAATAATTGTTGTTCGTTTTGTTCTTCTAAGTTGGCTTCTTCTTTATAGAACTCCTCCCCCTCTGGTTTATTATATTCTTGTGTATGCTGAGTCATCACTTCTAATTTCTGTAATACATAATTACACATTTCAAGTTTGATTCTTATCACGTCCCTTGTATCTTGCATATTCAAACTTATGTCGTGAGTCCAGTCTTATATCGACAAGTAGCTCCTCCATTATATCTTCTTTTTTCTTTTTCTTTCCTCTTCCTTAATAGTTGAAATCCTCTTCTTTAATAGATATATTCAATCCCAGAGTCCAGTAGTATCTTATTTCAGCCAATATCTTTTGAGTTTATTTTCAACAATTCATACTCTTGAGTCTTTATTCCAAATCTTCTAATTGGCCTCCCAACTGTTTCCCAAATTACCGGGTGGTTCTATGACAATAATAAAGTTCCTTTTATTTTCTTTCAAGTTCCAAGATCGAAACTCTCAAAAAGACCAGACGCTCGTTTTAAAATGGACTAAAGTTTTCCTGTGCCATCAGGTGGCGCTCTTGAGTCTTTTTCTTTTTAACTTTCTTTATTGAATATAATATTTTTATTAAGTTCGCTAATTTCAGTCATTAGCTATTCTTTTCAACACACTCAATTCCAGCATTTAGTTATGCCCTTTAAGTGCCCACAGTTCAATATATGTCCAGTTTAATTTTTAATCCTTTGTTGTGTTAATGTATTTTCCTTTAAACTTCTCCAAATCAGTCCAATAGAATAATCAAATCCAAATGTAAACACCAATTTCTTTCTCACTTTCTCTGATCACCGCTTCTACACGCTTTCCTCCAAAATAGCCCTTTAATTTGATACCAGGGTACCTCAAAAGCGATGTCCTTTGCCTGGGTCACACTCTGCTTGCTACTTCTCTCTCCAGCACAAAACTTAGTTTCCCGAAGTGTTCTTTGTCTTCATGGTGGCCATTTTAAGACCACAGCGGCAACTTGCCTTTGGGAGGGATTTTCCTGTTAGGGAAGGGAGGTGCAGCTCCCCTCAACCTTCCAGGCGATCTCCCCCTTCTTCACCACCCCACCAGTGCGGCTCCGGTTCCGATTGGGACCCTCCAGCAAGTGAGCTCGGGCGAAACCACACTCGATCACTGATTCGCACTGACTCCGACGAGGAACAAACCAGAAGTCCAAGATTTAGATAAAATATGATAAAATTATATTATATTAAGATGTTTCTATGCAACCGTCGGCACGCCAAACCAGGGTCAACCTAGGGAACTAAGAGACTCCCAAGCTAACACAGGAAGTCCTCCACTTACGACCACATTGGAGCCCCCAATTGATGCCAAGTGAGACATTTGTTAAAAGTCAGTTTTGCCCCATTTTACAACCTTCCTGGCCACTGTTGTTAAGTGGAATCTCTGCGGTTAATTTACTCACACCGTTGTTAAGTGAATCTGGCTTCCCGATGTACTTTGCTCATCGGAAGGTCAGAAAAATTGGATCCCATGACCTTGGGACACAGCCGCGGCCATAAATACAAGTCATTTGCCAAGCGTTTTGATCATGTTGTAAGTGTGAGAAACGGTGAGAATGCTGCAATGGTCGTTAAGTGTGAGAAACGGTCATATGTCATTTTTTTTTCCACCGCCGTTATGAATTCAAATGGTCATAAACAAACTGTACAGATAGTCCTCCACTTGCAACCATGTTTTTAGTGAGCGCTCAAACATATGACGGCACTGAAAAAGGTGACTTTGAGACCGGTCCTCGTACTTACGACCGTCACAGCATCTCCTGGGTATTTGGCAACCAGTGTGTTTTGCAGCATCCCCAGAGTCACGTGATCTCCATACCTGTCATGCCCCTGTCGGAGTCTGACTCCGAGGGAGAGGAGGAACAGCCGACACAGAGTGGAAATGTGGCTCTGGAAGTTGTGGAGGAGGCTGGGCAGTCAGAGGAAGACCCAGGCCCATCCCGTCTCCATCCTAGGGCATGCAAGGAGGAGAGGATAAGGGAGAGGTGTGAATGGTGTGGTCTATGGGGGAGGAAAGGGCCTTGATCCCCTTCATGGGCTGCAGCTGTGAGAACTGGTTAAAAGGACGGACATGCGTATTGGCCAGTGCTGGAAACAAAGCGTAGAAATATCTCTAGTTTGTGGTTCCTCTCTGAGTTTGGCATCCTTCCCAGTGTGTTCCGATATCTGTGGATCTCTTCAAGCCTTTATCTTGCCTGGTTCCCTTAATTGCTTCAGTGTGGTTTGTCTTGTTTTTGCTCTTTATAATTTATAGGCATTTTTACTTTAAACAACATTTCCTCCTTTCCGTAACTGCTTGTGGGGGGAGTGTTTTTTTGTCTCTAGTCAAGGATATTTGGAGCTTGGAAGCAAAGTGAAGGAATAAAAGGGACTTCACCTGTTTTTGTGACTGTGTTTATTTTGCATCCCACCCTGGGTCATCACAATACCCTTCAAAACTTAGTACCTGTTTGGGATTCTGGAAATATCTATGGACTCTCTTGAAGATACATAGGGGATGACAACGACTTTTCTCAGATCCGGAAGTCCTAAAAGGCGGGAAAAAAGGATCAGAAATGCAAAGATTATCAAATAGCAACAGTACTTAAGATTTATATGATGCTTCACAGTGCTTTGCAGCCCTCTCTAAGCAGTTTACAGGGCCAGCCTCTTGCCCCCAACAATCTGGGTCAGGATCGAACGGACAACAGTGGGCAGAGTTAGCCTGCAATGCTACCTTGTAACCAGTGCACAAGCATGGATGGTTGGATGGGAGGGAAGGAGGGAGGGAAGGAGAGAGGAAGGAAGGAACGAGGAATAGCAGTAGCATTTAGACTTATACACTGCTTCCTAGTGCTCTAAGCGGTTTACAGAGTCAGCTTCTTGCCCCGCAAAATCTGGGTCCTCATTTTACCCACCTTGGAAGGATGCAAGGCTGAGTCAACCTTGAGCCGCTCAGATTCGAACTGTTGGCAGTTGGCAGAGTTAGCCTGCAATACTGCATCCTAATCATTGTGCGAAGGAAGGAAGGAAGGAAGGAAGGAAGGAAGGAAGGAAGGAAGGAA